GCTCACAGAGATTGTTAAAAGAGATTGTGGGTGGCAGTGGAGGGAGCCTTGATTCAGCAGGTATCAGCTGGGGCTTTAGAATGTGCATTTCTGGCAAGTTCCCAGGAGATACTGATGCTGCTGCCCTGGGGCCTACAGCATGAGGCCTACCAGGCAGGAGACTCCAGCAGGAGAGAGTAGGGATGTGACCAGGGAAGGATGGAGCAAGCATGGCTTTGGGCATATAGTGGTTGGGATCCAAGTCCAGGAGAGTCTTGTGGGTAGGGACTTGGGGGGTGGACAAATTGGGGTTTAGGGGAGGTGTGCAGGCAGTGGCCCAGGCCTGGGACAGCACTTGGGAAGTCAATAATGAAGGCACTAAAGGTCTGGAGTCTGGTGGGGAAATACCTGGGAGCCGGGTAGGAGGATGAAATCAAGTGGCCAGAAGAGTTAAGGGAACCAGAAGTGATGGGAAGTGGGGTATGGGGAGCTAAGTTGGGATATGGGAATGGAGGGGCCCAGAGTGTGGAGTTGGGTAAGGGGATTTCAGCCTGGGATGGATCCTCACCTCGGAGCTGCCTCCAGGTGACTGTGGGCTCAGGTCGCCCCACAGCCAGGCAAAGCAGGTTCACATTGCCTCCCTCGTTCACTGTCACAGGCGAGGAGATGTTCACGATGCGGGCAGGGACTGCGGATGGGGCAGAGGTGAGGGAGAGGCTAGACATGGATGCTGTGATCTGGGCCTCAGACCCTCCTCCCTCAGACACAGGGTTCAGACCCCCAGCTCCTCCTTCCTCAGACTAAGGGGTCCCATCTTCAGCCTTTCCCGCCTCAGACCAGGGATCCCATCCCCAGCTTCTCTCCCAGCCTCAGGGCTCCAGCTGCCATTCCGTCTGTCTCTCTGTAAGCATCTCACATCTCTCACTTGACTCTTTGCCCTCTCTCTGCAGGTCCTGTCTGGGCCTAGCCTCTTGTCTTTTTTTTTTTTTTTTTTTAATATGGGGACTCACCCTGTCACCCTAGATAGAGTGCTGTGGCATCATTGCAGCTCACAGCAACCTGAAACTCCTGGTGTCAAGCAATCCTCCTGCCTTAGCCTTCCAGGCGTAGTATCACAACGCCTGGCCAGTTTTTCTATTTTTAGTAGAGACAGGGTCTCACTCTTGCTCAGGCTGGTCCTGAACTCCTGAGCTCAGGTGATCCACCCACATCGGTCTCCCAGAGTGGTAGGATTACAGGCGTGAGCATCTATCCTAGCTCCTTGTCTAACTGCTGGTCTTCTCAGTCTCTGTATCTTTCTCCACCTTCATTGTAACATAGTTTCTCTGTCTTCTTGTTTGAATTCATCTCTCCTTGTCTCTGTATTTATTATTATTTTTAAATTAATTTCTTTAACAAATAACCATATGGTATTTACTGTGTGGTATATTCAGTGCTTTACAAAAGTCCTCCCAGTAGACCCTCACTGCCAGCCTTGGGGGTAGATGTTACTTTATTTCATCAATTCTAAGATAGCCTGTTCCTTTCTCCCTCTTTCTTTCCCACATTTGAACATTCCTCTGATCAGGATGCCAGAGGATAGGGTTTGAGTGGCAGTGCTTTTCCTTTTCTATCAGGGCATCATATAAAGGCAAGGTGAAGTCTTGGATTCAATGACTGACAGCACCATCCCCTTTGGGGATGGCCTCTCTGCCTGCTCAGGGTCCCTGGGCTGGTGGATGGTGGCGTTGAGGTTGGGACCCAGGCATCCTACCTCCTGGGATGGGGCTTGTTGTGATCCCCCTGAGCTGTCTGTCTCTAGGCTCCCCTGTCGCAGTGCTCCCTGCCCTCCAGACCACTTCTGCCACATATACAGGGCTCCTGTGCACTGTCTCTTTGTCCCTCCCTCTGCTCCTGGCCGCTTTCCAGCCCAATCTCCCCCTCTAGATCTTGGTGCTCCCAGCCATACTGGACTTTCCTCTGCCCTCTTGGCCATTTTCTTTCCCCCATGCACCATTGTTGGTTTTCTCATACTAGCCCTGTGCCCAGTGAAGGGGTCAGCTCAGACGTCACATCAGGGAAGCTTTCCCTGAACTCTTTTTAGAAAATCAGCTCCCCAAGGGCAGGGATAGTCTGCCTTGTTTCTCCTCTATCCCCGGTGCCCTAAACAATACCTGCATATAGTAGGTGCTCAATAGATGGGGCTGAATGAATTAATATGGTCTTCCCCTGAACACCCCTATATCCTCATAGCTCTCCTTCCCTAGAGTGATCACGCTGAAGTGTCACTATCTGTGTGACTGTCATTGTCCCACGAGGCTGGATCCCTGAAGGTGAGGTCCTTCCCTGCTCTTTCCAGCCCCATCCACTGGCAGGGCCTCAGCCAGGCTCACCATGGACGATGAGGTAGACCTGAGTGGTGTACGGTTGGTGGCGGGTCTGGAAGGAACAGGTGTAGAGACCCTCGTCGCCAAGCCCCACCTCAGTGATGAGAATGGAGAACTCCTCCGGGGTGTTGATGAGCAGCCGCACCCGCGGGTCGCTGGTCCAGCGGTCGTTGCCCGCGTACAGGATGTTGGAGCGGTTCAGCCAGGCCACACGGGTCACATGCTCATCGATGAAGCAGCTGCGAGGGAGGATGAGGCTAGGAGGGTTTTTCTCCACCCATGCCAGCCTGGTCCTCCAGGGTCCCCCATCGTGAGGGCAGGAGGAAGAAGTAGGTCCATAACACCTCCAGGTGCCACCACCACCCTGGGGAGGATGTTACTCAGAGGGGCTATTCAGGGGCCTAAACTGAGCCTCAGAGGGGGAAAGTTGGAAGCCAACTGCATGACTGAATGACAGCTGATGGTTACTGCATGACTGTTGGGTGTCAGAGGCCCAGCAAGAGGAGAGAACACACTCAGGGAGAGAGGGATAGGAATGCAGAAGGGGGAGGATAGAGACTCAGAGGGGGAGACAGAGACCCAGAGGGGAGGAGGGACAGAGACCAAGAGAAAGGGGAACAAAACTGGGAGGGGACAGAAACCCAGAGGGAGGGGGGCAACGGAGACCAGAGTGGGAAACAGAGACCTAGGGAGGACAGAGACTCGGGGTGGGGGGACAGAGACCCAGAAAGAGGAGGGGAGACATTCAGGGAGAGAGGGATAGAGATGGAGAAGGGGGAGGATAGAGATGGAGGTGGGGTGGGGACAGAGACCCAGAGAGGGTGAAGGGCAGAGACCAGAGTGGGGAACAGAGACCTGGTGGGGGGATAGAGACTCAGGAGAGGCAGAGATCTGGGCAACAATATCCTGGCTGTCATTTATTAACCAGTCACAATATGCCACTCTCCAAACATGGTATGTGTACAAACTCTTGAATTATCGCAGTAACCCATGTGGTAGTGACCTTATCTCCACCCCTTTGACAAATGGGGACTCTGAGGGCCCACGAGTACTTGTTCCTGATGGGGGTGGTAGATGCCGACTGTCCCACCCCAGGCTGTCCCTGCAGTTAGGACCCCCCCTCCCAGGAAGGGGAGGCTCTGCAAGGCAAAGAGGCAGTACTGATGACTCTGTAGGACCCCACTGTGGAGGTACCTGAGGGTGGCATTGTCACCTTCACACACTGTGTAGTTGTCGGCAGGAGAGTTGAACTCCAGGCTCTGGGACAGCAGCCCTGGGGAAGGGAGGGGGCAGCTCAGCCTTGGCAGCTCAGGCAGGGCCTGGCATGGCAGAGGCTGTACATGTGCACACAAATCCACAACCTTGTGGACACACACATCTCTCACACCCACCACCGCACGTATGTACTGGTGTTTTCAAAGATGCACATGCAGCAGTTGCAATCAGAGCCGACACAGGCAACACCTGCCTTCCCAAGGGCCCACACTGACTCGCAGACTGGGATAGGTAGGTTCACACGCACACACAAACCTCCGCACCTCCAGAGACACAAACCTAACGGCCCATGCACAGCAAACAACACACTTAGATAGATACTATATAGATGCTTGTGTACATAGATGGATATACAGAAGGTACCAAAAAAATGCATACAGATTTTAAGAGAAGCAGCTGTCCTATTCATGCCTGTCTCATGATAGCATTAGCCTTCATTTGATTAGTGCCATCTTTTTTTTTTTTTTTTTTTGCAGTTTTTGGTCGGGGCTGGGTTTGAACCCACCATCTCTGACATATGGGGTCGGCACCCTACCCCTTTGAGCCACAGGCGCCACCCAAGATTAGCGCCATCTTTTGAGCAAATACCATACTACACATTGCTATAGTAATTCAATTCAACTTTGAAAAGTAATATACGTACCTAGATAGCATCGCTTAAAGTGAGTATACATTTTTTGGGCACCTCTGGCAATGCACAGAAACATATGCACACATGTGTACACAGACACACAGAGGCATGTCTACACACACGTGCATGCACACAGACACACACGTACACACATACACATGTATATAAACAGACACGTGCGTACATATGATATACATCCATAGAAACATGTACATAGACACACAGATACATGAGCATACAGACACATATGCACACAAATACATGTGTACATAGAACACAAACAAAAGAAATATATATATTTTGAGATAGAGTTTCACTTTGTTGCCCTCGGTAGAGTGCTGTAGTGTCATAGCTCACAGCAACCTTAAACTCTTGGGCTTAAGCGATCCTCTTGCCTCAGTCTCCTAAGTAGCTGGGACTACAAGTGCCCACCACAGTGCCCGGCTAGTTTTAGAGACAGGTCTCACTCTTCCTCAGGCTGGTCTCAAACTCCTGAGCTCAAGAAATCCACTGCCTTGGCCTCCCAAAGTGCTAGGATTACAGGCATGAAATACCACGCCCAGCCAAAACACATATAAATTCACAGAGTACATATCATCACACACTGATTCACAGTTACAGAGATACGTACACATATGCACACATACACATGTACAGATATACAACATCTATGCACAGACACATGTACACAGATACATACACAGGTATACATATATACCAATGCACATGTACATGGGCACACACAAAAAATCATAGTACAGCATACAGAGGCTCGGAGCCTGTGGCTCAAGTGGCTGACGCCAGCCACATACACCTAAGGTGGCGGGTTTGAATCCAGCCCAGGCCCACCAAACAACAATTGACGGCTGCAACCAAAAAATAGCTGGGCATTGTGGTGGGTGCCTGTGGTCCCAGCTACTTGGGAGGCTGAGGCAGGAGATTCGCTCGAGCCTAGGAGGTGGAGATTGCTGTGAGCTGTGATGCCACGGCACTCTACCCAGGGGGACAGCTTAAGGCTCTGTCTCAAAAAAAAAAAAAAAGTACAGCATACAGACACACATGTACATATTATGCACAGGAGCACACAGACACACACATTCACACAGATACACACATGTATATATACACATATAAATTCAGAAATATACACATGAATTCATACATATACAGAGCCAGCTGCATACATGTACTCAGCAGACATATGCATACAAACACACAGAGTCATGCACACGTATATATGCGCAGAACACACCTATCAGTCACAGAAATATGCTTTACACATGAACCTTCACAGACACAACACCCCTACGCAGACACACTGCACACCCACACCTGCTATATACTGCAGCCTGGCTTGCAGGCCCCAGCACCACCACCCCCTCATCTGTCTGTGGACTGTGGCTGGTAGGCTGGACCCCAGCCAGAGAGTGGGGACTGGGCACACAGCGGTGGTGGAGCCAGAGGAGCTGCCACTAGGAGGAGTGGAGCAAGAAGGAGGCTGGCTGGATGACCTTGGATGCCTACAGTGGGAGGGTCCTGTGAGGGGCTGCCCTGACCCAGCCCAGGCAAGGAGCTAATTAATCTAGTGAATTAATTGCCCGTGCTGCCCCAATGACTCCCAGGGGCCTTCTCCATCAGCAGCCCCTCCGGAAGGGGCTGGGACAGAGCCAGTTGCAGTGGGCTGGGCCCTGCAGCCCCTCACCTGAGACTCACGCAGGCCAGAGCAGCTCTGGGCTTTGGAAAGTACACCAGGGTACTGCCGCAAACAGCTCTGGGAATGACAGGAGACAGCCAGGAGATGGACGACAGACACATACATGGAGGCTCGGACAAGACACAGAAGCTTCCTGGGCCATGAAATAGTCTCCACACTGGTACAGCCTTGCCCAACTGGTACAGCCTTGCCCAGAGGGGCAAGTGACCACTCAGTCATGCAGACATGGACAGCTGCACACACGCCCACACATACACATGCACACACATGCGCACACACATACAAGCAGGAGATTGTCCCACCCTCTCAGTCACACACATGGCTGTGGCCCTGCTCAGTGGGACAGGAACACATATAATAGTGACTCTGGCACAGCCCTGCACAGGCACCCAGCATAAGGTCATTTAGAAAGGCAGCTCTGTCCTAGGTGCAGTCATACTATCACATTCAGCCACAAATGGTCAGTCTCAAGCCAAGGAAATGCTGCAGACTGAGTCACCCATGATGTACAACCAGTTCTCACATGGCTCTATCAACAGTCCCCCCCAACATGGCTGCAAAGTGCACAGGTGGTTATGGCCCTCTCCTAGAGGGTGTCCACACTCAAACACACACGCTGTCCTAGTGGCTACAGCACCAGTAGTCCAAGCGCCACCCTTCACTTTGGAAGATCCTGAGTCAGACCTGTGCAAAACCACAACCTGTGCAACAGCCAGCTACACCATCACACCCCTTGAACATAAAAAGGGCTTCCCTGGGCCAAGAATCAGGTCATGTTGTCACTTATGCTCAGATCACACATGGACATACACACACACACACATGCAGGCAGGTGGAAAGTCACATACAAAAAGATACACGTGGGCCAAAACCCAAAAATAGTCACAGGCAGTGAGCATTAATACTCCTCCATAGGCTGATCCAGACAGACAGACACCCAGACCTGCCATACTCCTGGAGACACACACCATAGGACAGGCATCCTAACCCCGGCCCTGCTGACACTAGGGTTGCCTGCCCTGTGCACTGTGAGACACTGGCAACATCCCTGGCCAGGGCCTGCTCGATGCCAACAGCTTCCCTCACTCCACAGTGGTGACAACCAGAAAGGCCTCCAGACATTGCCAGATGCCCCCAGGGGGCAAGATCACACTTCCTCCCCCACTGGGAGCCTAACCTAAAGGAACCAGGGCCCATGGTTAAAGGAAGGACAAGAGGGTGCTGTCCAAGGTGCTCCCGAGGGCTCAGGGAACCCAGGGCTGTTGGGCTTACCCAGTGACTTGAACAAATCCTCCCAAAGAAGCTGAGCCCTCTTGCCAGGACCCTGGAATGAGGGTGGCCTCCACAGGCAGGTAGGACTCAGCCATGCATCCTGGCAGACATAAATATTGACACACACCCACGCTCCCTGCAGAGGGGTTTTCCTAACGCTCACAGCAAACTCAGCTCTTTCACGGCCACACAGCCTGCAGGACCTAGGCCAGGAGCCTTCTCTGGCTTCCTCTACCCAGTATGGGCATGGTCCAGCTCTGCATTTTTCTCTCCACCCAACCTCTGCCCCTTCAAACCATTCTCCTCCAGGACCTAGCCCTTCTGGGAGGCCTGCCCTAGCAGCCCATGATCATGGTTGTCTGCCTCCCAGACAGTGGCCTGCATTCAAATCCCAGCTTTGCCACTGAGTTGCAGAGCTTAATCACCTTTCTGGGACTCAGTTTCCCCACCTATAAATGGGAATAACAATCATGCCTCCCTCATCTGGTTGTGGGTAGGATCAAAAGAGGACATCCAAGTAAAGGGTTTAGGACAGGGCCCAGCAGTTAAGTGCTTACAAATAGCTGCCCATGAGGTGGCTGTTAGGATGTGGCCAGCACTGGACTGTGGTAGGAAGGGAGAGGTCCAGCAGTGACTGGAGGGACCACTCAGGTCCCTTTCCTTGTGGTATTTACAGCTCAGATGAGTGGGCCTCATACCTGTTTAATAAATAATTCATGGAGTGCAGGTTGTGGGTGAGTGAGTTTCCATAAAGGAGAAAGATTTCTAACAAGCAGAGTGACCTTGAGTTGGGGGTAAGAATCTCCTGCTGCACTGCAAAGGAACTTAGGCAAAGTAGGGACCCTCCAACAGAGGGGGTGCTCTGATTCCACAGACCTCAAATCCACAGGTGGGGGACCTGGGGTCCAGGGAGCCCACGTGAGCTTGTGCTGGTCACTCAGGGTAGTGTGGGTATTCAGGAGACTGGGTGGTAGAGTGAAGGGCAGAGGAAGGGCTGTGGGGCTGCATCTGGAAAGAACTGTGAAAAGGGTCTGGGCTGGGGTGGCTTTGGCATCAAGGAGTCCCCAGACTTCTCTTCTTCCCTTTGATGGCCTTGAAATTCTTTTTTTTTTTTGAGACAGAGCCTCAAGCTGAGTCCCTGGGTAGAGTGCCATGGCTTCACTGCTCACAGCAACCTCCAACTCCTGGGCTGAAGTGAGTCTCCTACCTCAGCCTCCCAAGTAGCTGGGACCACAGGCGCCCGCCACAACGCCTGGCTATTTTTTGGTTGCAGCCATTATTGTTGTTTGGCAGGCCTGGGCTGGATTTGAACCTGTCACCTTAGGTGTATGTGGCTGGCGCCTTAGCCGCTTGAGCCACAGGCGCCGAGCCGATGGCCTTG